TTAATAAGAATGGTTACGTTATTATTAAATAAGATATTTAATAATAACCGTTACATGTTCAATTCGTCCAACATATTGGTTGCCTCTACTGAACTAAACACAGTTATGCTTGTTATCTTCTATGCATGATCAAATGTTTTTGTCAGTGTGTATCGACTTATAGATCGAGCACAATTGAAATGAATGACGGTTTTATATATGAAAAAAATGATTTTTATCGAGTTTAATCCTTTTCTATAATATTTTCGTTGACTAAATTCATATACCAAGGCCAGCATAGGGCACAAAGTTCCCGCAGGGTTCTGGGGAGACTTGAGGTCACGCTGATCACCGAGGAGCAATCTTATCATGACACCAAACCCCACCCACTCAGGCCAGTTTCCACCAGCCATATCAACACCTAGGTAGTTTTACATAGAGGCTGTTTGGATGAGTGCTTTCCCCTGCATTCCATCAAGTGGTACAGGACTTTCGGATGCAGGAAATTCTTGCTTGGATGGTTGCGTTTTCCAGAAGAACGTTCCTCTTAAAATGCAGTTGGGTCACAAATTTTTATCATGCAGCAACATGTTTGCATGAGAAAGCATCTTCTTTTTTCCTTCACACATCCTTTCATTTCGCTATGCAGAAATTGATATCAGCCTGCCATTGCAAAAATGCAGGGATCCAAACGAGTGACCCTGCAGTTGCAAAGACTTGCGTCGGTAACACAGCAAATTCATAAATGTAAGGTAGGCTCTTACTTTCCGCCATTCTTTTTTATTGTTGTAGATCCAGGTATCAGCTAATGCAGCACGTCCATAAATACAACCATCCAAACAGCTTTATAGACTCCTTCATTGGGCAAGATAAACTAATTTGGAAGTTTTCTTGCTGTGCAACGAGTTATTTGAACTTGTATAGTGCTCATATGATTCTCTTATGTCAAGACAGAATCTTATTGGGTTTAATTGTTCCCTGTCCTTTCTCAACTTCTACTTGATGTTAATAGTTGTCAAATATGTGTTATGTTAAACCTTCTTTAGCGGTGACCAACTTGATATGCATACATGGTACGGATTTCATCGTTTGTAAGTTCTTACTATGTTAAACCTTCTATTGTAGCTGACTGTTTGTTTTAGAACTCTTGCATCTGCAACATTTCTGTGGACAAAGACCTTTATCCCTATGCTGTGGTCACTGATGTCTTGGAAGCTCCAGCAAAAATGAATCTGGACTGCTGTGTGAGACATCAAGATGGAGAAGATTCATGGTTAGGACTCCTTTATTAGGGTGCTAAGGTGAACATATTGTCTTACAATTCCGAAATAATGAGAAAGGAGTGAGTTGGCTTTCTATTAAGATCTATAATATAATACCTTGATGATTTTGAATGTTCTCATGATTAACAAATCACAATTTATTGTCTTTGTGTGTGTGTGTGGGGAGTATACATCTTTCTGACCAAAATTTTGTTAATCTAACACTTAGATTACCTTGTGACTCAATTTCAAAGCTTCGATGGGTGTTGACGTTATGGAATGAAACAAATGGTTGCCTATGAGCTTAAATCTGAAACTCTTTTTTGCTGAATTATAGTCATAGTTGAAATATATCCCACACACATTTTGTGGTGGTGAGCTCGACCACAGTAATCGGTGACGACCTTTATCTTGATTCAAATAACTGTATGTATCTTTTATCATTATTGACAACAGAAAGGCTCTGTTTTTTCTCATCATACAGGATGATAATGGGAACCTAAAAACTTCTTCAGTCTTTTCTTATTGTAGCCTTCATTTTCTCTCTTTTGCATCTTTCTAAATCAATACATAATAATTAAATGACTGATGATGTTACATGAGCTGTTAAAGAAAGGAATTGGCTTGAAAGGAAGAACTCAAGGGATATATACACCTAGAAAAAATTTTAATTTAATGAAAATATAATGTACTAGATTTATTTATCAAAGGTTTAAGAGTTCAAGACCTCATCCGATATATATCTTATTTTTTTGAAAAAAAAATCTTGGAATGTAGGATTGTTTTGTGATGTTTGCTTTGTTAGCAAAATAATCCATGAATTATAGCAGTTGTGTTTCCTTTCATGTATTGCAATGTATAAATGAACACTTAATGGGTCAATTTATGCATACGTTATGTGCACAAAAATATTTTATTTATAAGAATTTAAAAGTAATGTATCACATCAAATACTAAATGAACTAATAATCCTTATATGCTCCACATGACAATTATATTGTGTTGCCGGTAAACCTTTGGTCATAGGATCAACAATCATTTATCTACTTCATGTTTCTTTATGTGATACTTTATATTGATGTGTTTGCTATGACTTGGATACTTTTATTGTTCTTAGAAAAGAATACAGTGGCTGAGTTTTCATAATACATCTTTATAGGTTGAGTAATTAAATCGATAATATTTAATTACGAGATGAAGTTACACAATCACAAAGTCTGTGTAGTAGCTTCATAGCAATGAAGAAATTAAACTTGCATAGTGGATGAAGCAACTATTTGCTTGTTGCTTCTCAAAGTTATTGCACCTCGAGCTAATAGAAAAATATATTGCACATCCATCAAAATCTAAATATAAATATTTGATCATATTAAACTAATCAAAATGTTTATAAGTCAGCATATAATCCTTAGTTCCTTACAAATACTTCATCACCATCTTTATAGCTTTTTAATGAGTCATTCCTAGACTAATTTTATATCTACCCAAGCATCCCTACTACATATGCTATATAATGTTATGTGAAGACCTATGTATATATTCAACTTCGGATGCATATGGGTCATTTTTCATTTACTTTTTTTCCAAATGATTTTGTAGATGTTATTTTAATTAAATTTATCTCCTTTCACAGTAGGCACTATTGAAGGGGAACATTATTATATTATAAATCTTTGTAAAATCTTTTTAATATGACCTCTTGAGATAGTCTTAATGACCTTTTAGATCTATTTTTATGAATCTCTATATCATTCATATAAGAGTTTTCACCTAAATATTTATCTCAAAATTTTGAGAAAAGAAATACTTTGTTTTATATAGTATAACCAAATCATTACTTGCAGATAAGTTGTTATCAATGTATAGGGCTAAGAAAATTATTTTGCTCCCATTGACCTTAACATAATTCATAATATTTTTAATAAGACAAAAAGAGATAATAACATTATAAAATTTAGTGTACCATTATTGGAAAGCTTATTTTAGTCTATGTTGTTGAATTTTAGATTTTGATGATAAAACCAATTGATAATTGTTTATGTTTTAATCTGCGTTTTGAGTGATGTAGGATGCTTCGATCAGGATGAGACAATTAAAACAGGAAAAACCATGTTGGGCCGGAGGAACGGTCGATGTATTGACAGAAGACTTCGGGTCGTGGATTCGGGCATCGAGCCAAGAAGAACGGATATTGCGCCAAGGATATCGGAGTTGCAGAGTCAACTGACCGATTGGGCAATAAGCCGTAAGAGAGGACGATGCGCCGAAGAATCAAACGAAGCGTCGAGGAACCAATGACATGCTGGACAACTTGATTAATGCTTAGTATTAATTGTCTAGATCGAAGTGTGTTTTATATGTATAGGATTAACTACGATAGCAAGATATGAAGCAAAATGAAGTCCCGGAGTCAAGGACGTGATTTCGTTGGGAGTTCGAGAGTTCGTCGGAAGTCCGGACGTTCGTCGGAAGTTCTATCGGAACCAACCGAGAAGTCTCGGAGCTTGACAGAGAAGCTCATCGAAACTCGCTAAGAAGATCGTCGTGAAGTCCAGGAGCTTGCTGGGAGTCCGTCGGAACATTGCTGAGAGATCGTCGGAAGTTCACCGAAAGATCGTCGGAAGCTCGTCGGAAGAATAGACATAGGGACTTGTTTAGCTTAGCAAATATCTTAGGATTTCGTAATTAGCACGTAATTGGGCTTGGATATGAGCCAACCCAATTAGGGGCCAGTTAGGCCCATGTAAGAACTGTGTTGGGCCCAATAAGAGGCCTAAACAGTGCCCCAAGAAGTCTCACCGTCGTGGCATAGTCTTCGACACTGTGTCAGGCGATGGTACCGCCAGTCTGGGTGATTGTATCGCCCCTAGCAGGGTGCCAGGCGGTGGTACCGCTAGTCTGGACGATGGTATCACCTAGCACTGCCCCCCAGGCGATGGTACCGCCAGACTTGGGCGATGGTACCGTCTAGGACAGTGTCAGTGTCGATTGACACTAGACGATGGTACCGCCCGTGCTCGAGGAACCCGGGATGGGAAAGTTTTAGGCTCCAAGTTTGAATTAACTTGAAGCCTATAAATACCCCTCTCATCCCTGGTTAAAGCACATAAGTACAGAGAGTTTAAAAAGAAAGAAATGCTGCTAAAATCTTGTATGATTTCTTCTCTCTTCTAAGTGTTAGACTAGTTTAAGAGAGAAGTAAGTGAGTGCTTGTAAGGGTTATCTCCTAAACCCAGTAAAAGGAGAAGAGGGGTGTAAAAGGTGATTGGCCTTTGCCTATTGAAGGAAGGCCTCTAGCGGACGCCGGTGATCTCGTCGAAGGAGGAAGCTGAAAGTGGATGTAGGTCACGTTGACCGAACCACTCTAAAACTGTTGTGTTCTCTGGTTTGCATTTTATTCTTGTCATTTACATACTGCAAACTACTTTACTTAGTCACTACGCTTTCATACGCTTCCATGTTATTAAGCTTCCGAAATCAGTTTACGTCGAAATCAGTTTTTATCGTACGAAAGTTTTTAAACCGACGATATTTTACCGCTGCACTAATTCACCCCCCCTCTTAGTGCCGATCCCGATCCTAACATATGTATTAACTTATTTAACTTACAAACTAATTGATTTTTATCACAAAAACCTTTAGGCTAGCCCATATATACTTCTTCCTTAATATCCTCATTTAAAAATATTATTTTTATATTTGTCTGATGTAACTCTAAATTAAGATAAACTATAAGAGTCATGATTATTCTAAATGAGTCCTTGGAAATAAGGGAGCATATGTCATGATAATCAACGCCTTCATTTTTTATGAAACCTTTGACTACAAGTCAAATTTTATACCTCTCAATATTTCTAGAGGCATTCCTTTTGGTCTTATATACCCATTTACAACTAATGAGTATAGCCCCTTTTGGTAATTCGATAAAATTTCAAATTTGATTTCTAGTCATAAACTCTAATTCCTCTTTCATGATATCATACACAAGTTTAGAGTCTATATTTACTCATGGCTTATGAAAACAACCAAAGATCATCCTTAAGTCTAACATTAAAGTCGGACGAAAATCTTTAACTTTGAAGATCTCCTCAATATCATAATATCCCTTTCATTTTATAAATTAGGAAGTATTAAGCTTTGTATGAACTTGTTTTGTATGAATTTATTTCTCATCGTGATAAAGTTGGCTAATTGGAATTAAACCAACATTATCATTTGATTCCTTATGTTGTATCTTTATTTCTTTAAATTGTATTGGAGAAAAAAAATACTTTCATAGAGTTGAAGATCTTCAAGAAATTTAAAATTTCTTGCCTTATCAATTATAGATGTCTGAGAGGAATAATAAAATCTTTATCTTCTAGAGTTAATAGCATAATTAATAAAAAAAATCATTGATCATTGTAGAGTCTAGTTTCTTTATATGATGATCATAAGTCTTTACTTTAACAAGACAACTTCATAAATATAAATGACTTAGACTTTGGTTTTTACCATTTCAATAACTCAAAGGAGTCTTAGAAACAATTTTAGATAGAATCTTGTTTAAGATATATACAATGGTCTTTTAGTGTTTCACTCCAAAAGGGATATGGATAAATTAGAAAAACTTATTATACTTTTTATCATATCTTTAAGTGTGTAGTTCCTTTTTTTTAGCTACCTCATTTTTTTTTTAGATTTGCGACATTGTATATTGCCCATTCTTCTTTAAAAAATTTAGCAAATGGACTCATCATTTATCCTTTTTTTTAAACCTTTTATAATACTCTTCATCTCTTTCTAATCCTACAATTTTGATTTTCTTTTCTATTTATCTCTCTACTTCTGCTTCATAAGCCTTAGAGGTATAAAAAACCTCAGCTTTCTCAAATAAAAGATAGAGATACATATATCTTATATAAGCATATATAAATAAGATAAAATATCTTTAATCATTAAAGTATTAAGTAAAAGATCCACATATATCAATGTGTAAGATCTCTGAAGTTTTTGAACTCCTCTTAGCACAATTAGTAGACTTGTTGGAAATCTTACTTTTTATTTAATCCATACAAATTTCAAAATCAATAAATTTTAGAGTTTCTAGAATTTCATCATTTATAAATCTCTTTATGATTTTCATGGAGATATGACATAATCTACTATGTCATAAAATAAAGGAATGCTCATTCATAATACCATGTTTAAGTCTAGTATTTTGATCATACATAGTAAACTAGTTAAGCTCAAATTTTGAATTATAATCAAATTTAAAGAAACCAACAACTAAAAATCTAGTTCCAATAACTCTATTATTTTGTGAAATACTAAGCATAGAATTCTCAAGATGAAAAGAAAAACCTACTTGCATAAATATTGAAATATAAATAGTATTTTTATGATTAAAATATATTTATTTTTAAAGTGAGTCTAAAGATTCTTATGACTTTCGAGCATATCCTATTACCAAAATAGATGCTTTATTCATTTTGATTCAGCTTACTTGGATCCAGAAAGCTTGTATTATTTTTTATAGTATAGATTGATGAATCCACTAAATATTATCAAGAGTACTAGTAACAGATATATAGATCTTTTTAAGTCAAATTTTATACTTTTGACATTCCCTTTTTATGTCCCTTCTTGCAAAAGAGACAATGAACTTTATTACCTTATACTATAAAATTTTTTTATTTTTCTTTTCTTTGTAGATAATTTTTTCCTCTCACTTATAGCTCTTCTTGTGAGTTGCTAGAAGAGCACCATCTTTTTTTTTTCAGTTGTATATGTACTCAAGAATAATTGGATGATGCACTTAAGAATAATTGATGTCTTATAGTCTATTGATATCATTAATATTAGTAATATAAAATTACCTCCGACTATAGTTGTCCAAGAACAAGCTTTTGGATGAAGAACACTCAAGAATAATTGGTGTCTTATAATCTGTCTTATGGAACTTCATGGATGTCTATGCCTTAATCGATAGCTGTAGGCCTATATATAGGCTAGACAATGAAAGAATTTTGAGGTAACCTCCTCCAATGTGACTAATAAAACTATTTTGTTTGATTATTAATGTTATGCAACTTATATCACCATTATCATGACAATAATACAATTGAAACCAGCCAATTTGATATGTGAACTATCTATATTGTGGTATTTCAATGAATTTTGGACGACATGGCCAACAGGTTATATCTTTTGTCCTTCCAGTATAAGCAGGCAAGGTGAACAATAACTATCTTACCAGCAAATACAGAAATTGCTCTCATACAATGTCTGTAGTTTTTATAAGGAGGAAAATGGTCAGTAGCAATATGTTTATTGTGATTTTGCCTTTTTTTCGATTTGACGAAGATATTCTGTGTGTTTCTCAAGTAATTACTTCTGTTGATGAAATAGAAACATTGCTTTTTTGTGCAACTATCACTGATAGAGTTGGTATTTCTAATCGTCCTTCTGAGTCATCTTTGCTGCAGAAATGGCCACCTTACAGCTCTCATAATAGGAGTATGGAAGAAGCACTCGGGTGTAGAGGAGTAGAACAATCTTGAAAGTGATAGTAGAAGTAGCTGGTGCAGGGTTAGTGATTCCTAAGGTTTCTTAAAACCTACACTTTCTGCTTTTTCTTGTTATGATGAGAACAAGTAAAAGGCAGGCAAATGGACTGCCGCAATGGTAGTCGTAGTCGGTATTGAAGTTAAGCAACTCTCTTTTTCGAGGACACGAGATTTCAACACAGCTTCTTTACCTAATCTAGGATGCTATGGCCTGCGTCATTTCCGCATTAACTGCTAATGTCTTTATGCATGATCTCATCATATTCCTGAGTTTTCTGAGCATCATAATGTCTCAAACATGCTTATTGATGATTCGGATAGAATGTCGGATCAAATTACAATTGACTTCATCAGTTTACAGGTTTTTTTTCTGAAATAGATATATTGTTAGGCATGTTCTATGAGCCAATATTTTGTTAGATTTCAAGCATGAGGTACATATGAGTGGGATACAGAAAATTATTTTTGATTGGAGTCCTTTAAATGTAGGACATATAGATGAGAAGAAAATTTAATGTTTAGTCGAATTATTTTGAAAATAGAAGATTGAGGGTGATTATATAATCTAATTATATATTATCATTCATGATTAGTTATTTTTAGTATCTCAGTCTTTATATTTTCAAAAGTTATATTAAGATTCTTATACTTATGAAAGTAAAATATTTAATTCATTGCTTCAAATTTGTAATCATATGAAATTATTTTTTTAACTTTGTATAGAGATCTTAATATTTCACTTTCGTAAGTACGAGGATTTCAATTTAACATACGAGGATTCAATTTAACATAAGAATCAAGATGCTAAAAGAGACTAATTATAGATACTAATATGTAATTAGTTTTATTTGTATGCATGTGAGACCCATTGGCATGGTTGATGCCTGATTGCTTGGTTGAAGGTAATGAACTTTAATTGTCCCTTAAATACAACCTTTTTGTTGCTCATGGTTCGATTTGACGTTTCTTAAGACTCGTCTTACACCTATTGCTGCTTCCAAAGCTGCGGGATTGGCTTGGTCGCACCACATTTCATTTTCAGCAAAGAACATGGAGTCAAAAACATCTGCAAGCAACCATTGCTGGGTCAACTTCCATGCTTTGGATGACATCTTCAAGAACACAGATCATAACAAGTATTTCCAGTGTTCCTTCTCACGAAATATTGGACCCACACCATATCCAATTTAGGCTAGGTATTGAAGTAAACATCACATATGTTGACTGCAAATAATTAATGAGCATCAGTGACATTTGCTGAATTGGAAAACTAGAAACAAATTTGAAAAGAAACAAGAAGAATGTAAAAATAAAAAATAAAAATAAAACAAAACATATGCATACAAAAGTAATCCAAAGTAACACTTTATATATATATAAATATATATATATATATATATATATATATAGCTTAAATGTATTTCTTTAGATCTAGGGTACTCTTTAAGTTGTGTACTCAATAATTCCTTAATTTTAGTTTGGTAGGTTGTCAATTGTCACCTTAGACATGTGAATGCCATAGGCTCATACTGATTATAACATAGTTCAAATTGCATTTTAGTTCTTGTATAAGATTAATGAATCCATAATTATGTCATTCTTAGCTTTATGTATATATCTTTTATCTTTTTTACTTTGAAGTTTGTTTATAGTCCCAAAAATCTAGAAAATTCAATTCGTAAGTTTCAAGGAAAAAAAGTTGACCTTCAAACTATTATTAGACCACATGTCTATAGAACCAGCTCAAACTTCATCTCTTGCACATGATGTTTAGATCACTTGATGCTTAATGGGTCTAGGGAGACCAAGTTGGATCCTAGACAAATCTTATCAACTATGAAAAAGTCAACTACATCGTAAGCGAATGGACTTGAGATGATTCATCATGGAACACTGGCACGTGGAACTTATTCATTCAAAGATGAGAATGAAATGGAAACAAATTTAGATGATCTCATCCAACACCTCGTTGGTTTAGTCCACTTAGCCAGCATGCATTTACTAAGATTACATGCAACAAAGGTTGGACCAAGTGCTTGTGAAAGTGTAGGCTTGGACTATCTGGTTTGACTTGCTCCAAGTTAGCCGCCTTCAATTACCACATCCATGTAGAACATCGTAGCATGCATGGGCTAAGTCAGTCCACTCTTCTTCATGTTGTCATCTGCTGGTTCAACCAGTTCGATCTTATACCTCCTTTTTAGATAAGCATTAATAGTTTAATATAATTGAGGTTAAAACCCTATCAATTTGGTATTGATCGGCTAAGCAATTGGACCCCACTGGGGAGGACGAATCCCATGCCTTAGGCGAGTGAAGGACTCACGCCTCCGATGCTTCGTGGCAGGCCTGTCTTTTCTGTGGTGGGGTTGTTGACCTACTCTTGGAAGCATGTTTGTAGCAAAGCCCCCATCACCGTCGAATTCTCGTCTAACGGTTGTCGTGACTTAGGACGCTTTCGCTATATGGGAGATTAGGTCAAATCCTTAAGTGCAGGCTTGGCGATGGCAGGTGGAGAACAACACGCGATGGCAAAGTGTGGGTAGGCGAAACAGTCACCTGTTGAAAACATCAACTGTTCTTATAGATTTCCAAGTATGAGAACACAATACGAAAAGTTATCCAGAACTTTGAATAAGCTTCAGCAGCAGCACTGATCAAAAGAGATTGGGAAAGCAACAAAGAAAGAAGAAAAAGAGTCATAATATAGTATTTTTTTTGTTGCAGTAGATTTGTTACTGTTCTTCATCAGCTTTCACTTGGCGTTTGCCTGCCTGCTTACTGCACCAGCTTTGAATGGGTAGGCCATGGAGGTTGCAGCTATGCATGACTCGATCCTCATACTTGTTCAATGAGGTAGGTTTTAGAGCAGGATAAAGAAAAAGTAGAGAGAGAGAGAGAGAGAGGTGCACAGGCAATTACATTGATTTATTACTTCATATAATCTTCCACTATCGTGGGACCAATCGCATGCATCCACCATTAATACCCTAACATGAATATAGAAAACATGTAGTGGAAGCAAGAAACTTCTACACTACCCAACAACCCCCACCTCCCCTCACCCTTTTCCTTCTTCCTTATCCTTTATATAAACACTCCAACCTCCTCTTTCCCCGTTCCACAAGCAGCCCACTGCAACACATCAACAGAAAGCAGAAGCAATTGAGCTCCAACCATGAAGCCAGCCATCATCTCCCTGTGCCTCTTCTTGTCTCTGCTGCACTATTCGACAGCCCAGAGCTGTGTCAGCGAGACCTTCTCCGGCAACAGGCTCTACTCCTCCTGCAACTCCCTCCCCTACCTTGGTGCCTCCCTCCACTGGAACTACCACTCTTCCAATGGAACGGTAGACGTCGCCTACCGCGCGCCGGAGTCATCCTCCGGCTGGGTCGCGTGGGCCGTCAATCCCACCGGCAGCGGCATGATCGGAGCCAACGCCTTCCTCGCCTTTCCGGGCTCCAACGGCGCCGTCACGGTGTACACCACCAAGTTCTCTGGCTACAACGTGGAGGCGAGCGACGTGAAGGACGAGAACCTGAGCTTCCCGGTGTACAGCAAGCAGGCGGAGTACGCGAACGGGTACTACACCATCTTCGCCACGCTGGAGCTACCCAACAACAGCACGAAGCTGAACACGGCGTGGCAGGCGTCGACGCAATTGCAGAACGGCGTGCCCAACGGCCACCCGGCCGGCGACAACTTGTTGTCTAAGAACAACCTGGATTTCCTCTCCGGCGAGGCGGGTTCCGCCGGAGGCAATTCGAGGCTGCGCCGCAAGAACGTAAGTTGCACAGCTAATTTGTAGGATCTTTTGAGCAATTCATTTATGATCGTTTTCTGTATCATGTATATTCCATGCACTTGGATCGGGTTGCAGATCCACGGCGTGTTGAATGCAATCGGCTGGGGAATTCTGATGCCCATTGGAGCCATCATGGCGAGGCACGTGAAGGTGTTCAAAGCAGCAGACCCTGCCTGGTTCTATCTCCATGTTGCTTGCCAATGCTCGGCATACATCATTGGGATCTCAGGATGGGGCCTTGGCCTCAAGCTCGGCAGCGAGTCCGTTGGAATCACGTACCACAAGCACAGAGACATCGCAATTGCCCTCTTCTGCCTAGCAACAGTACAGGTGATCAATCCTCACATCAATCCTCTCGTTAAACAGTTACACCGTAGATCTCTTTGCAACTCAAGATCGTTTGGTTGCGCAGGTGTTTGCATTGCTTCTGAGGCCGAACAAGGAGCACAAGTACAGGATATACTGGAATGTGTACCACCACTCGGTTGGATACTGCATCATAATCTTGAGTATTGTGAACATATTCGAAGGATTTGACATCTTGGATCCTGCAAAGAAGTGGAAGCACGCCTACATCGGTGTCATCGCGACGCTCGGCGGCGTCGCACTGGTTCTGGAAGCTGTGACATGGCCTATAGTTCTAAGGCGGAGGTCGAGGAGCTCGGAGAAGTCCCACCATGGTGTTAATGGTGCAAATGGATATGGTGTGAGGCAACACCAGGTAGTGTAGATGATGCTGAGGCTTGTTATGTAGGGCATCACTTGGATATCTGTATTGTAGCCACATATTAATTTATTTGTTGGAACAGAGAGATCGGATGGCCTCTTGTGCTTTTTTCCCTTTTTTTTCCTTTAATTTTCCTCGGTTTAATTTTCTGCTTAACCATTGTGTTATTATAGCGAGAATTTTCCTTGTTTGTGTGTATGTATGGAGAGTTCGACCCGAGCCTAACTCGAATCAAGTCAACCACAGGTCTAACGCGAGCCTAACTAGCTAATGATTTGGACCATCTTGACCCGCACTCCAAGCACGGGCCCCACTCCCATACCAGTCCATCTTGAGTCACAAACATGGTTGGGCCCACACCCTTTTAATCTTGAATATGTTATCATCCTTACTTACCACTACACTTTCAAAACTGTAATAATTGATATAAAAATATATAAAATATTTTTAGTGCCCGTAGTGCTCGATGTGATCACAATGATCGACGCATATCTGTGTCCTAATAAAAGAAAACCAAAATGTCAATATCACGATCATGACCAAAGTAGTATATACATGGACTCTGCATCTCTTTATTTTTAGTTTAAGAAACACTCATATAGATTATGATGTATCACAGATTTTTTTTCTTTTTTACTTTTTTCATCTAATAACAAATGTTTTACCCCATCTTTAAAACTACAATTGTCATTTTCACTGAAATTTTAGATGAATCGTGAGCTAGTAATAGCTTATCAAATATTGAACATGGATAGCTTACTTTCAGCTTGTATTCGACAATTTATGGGTCATCATTATTAGAAGCTTAATGGTAGTAAGAGAAAGAGTGAATTAGGACGGTAATATTTTTAATATTTTTAAATTTAATCAAAAAATAATATGTATAAAAAATATGATTAATCAATTATTAAATGTTAGTCAAAATGAATGATAATAAGTAAGTAATCATGAATAAAATTCATAATTAAGAAAAGGAAATAAATCTATTTACAATGATTCGATATTTATGACTTACGTCCACTCTCGATTCTTTTTCCCTCGAGATCATCAATTTTCACTACTGATTTTACTTCTACTAAATTAAGATAAATAACCCTTTATAATATTTATTTTTTTAAACTTACGAAAAAACTTTTACACTCACTTTGTTATAAGAGATTTCTCATCTTCTATAACTTAGTATCACAATTAAACTCAAAAGGAGAAAGAGACTCAAATAATGCTCAAAGAGAGAGCTACAACAAAATAAATACTCTATCAACCAAATCTGAGTGGGATATTTATAGACTCCGAAAGACTTCAAAATAGAGCCTAAAATTTAAGTATTCAAAATTTTGAGGTATGGATGATACTATTGATGACATCATATCATCATAACTTTTAACAAGAGCTACAATTCTAGACTCCAATGGTCCTACCACTATAAATTTTTGATGATACCACCATCATCGTAGGTGATACTACCACTGTCACCCTAGGCAATACTATCATCGAAATGGTTAACGACCATTTGAGCTTGGTTATATCACTACCTAGGCTAGGTTTATACCACTAGTTTGGTATTCTAACAACCCTAATTTGGCTTTGCTTTATGCCAAATGACTTTCATAGTAAGTGAGCTCTATTTTAGCCCAATATCAATCCAAAATAATCTTAATCAAGATCTTAACTCATTAACCATTCATCTGGCATATCTTTAAAGCTTTCGACATGTTATGTATCATTTTGGCATATCGGTCGATCTTCTCGCACTTCGTATCCTTTGCATATCGCGCATTCCTTTAACATGTTGACTTTTCCAAAATATCCGATCTTCCGATGCAATATCCGATCCTTTTAACATGATGCTCGAACCTATAACATGAAGTGAGATCTTTAGCACGTCGACCAATCTTATGGTTCAATGTCCAATTCCGATATGATAATCTCTCGACATAATATCTAACTCTTTAGCTTGATATTTGGCTATTCGGTGGCCAGTGTTTGTGATCAAAATATTTTCTATATCACTTATCTCAAAAACATATTAGTTCATCAAATTCATCAATTAATTCCATCATCAAAATCCATGATTCAATAATCTTTCGCTTTTTGATGATAATAATAAAATAATATCAGGGACTTAGTAAGATTCCCCCTATATATATACCATAAGTATTAGATTGTATCATGAGTATCAAACATAACTTGACAAGAATCATGATAGTATTAAATTTTAAAAATTATGATATTATAGTATTATGATAGGTTTTAACAAGACTCTCCTTGTTTATATACTATAAAAATATGAGATTTAATTTGATGGCATCATGAGTCTCAAATCATATTAAGTAAATATTTTATAAGTATTTTTATTTACACTTTATTGTATTTAGTCATATATCTTCTCCCCTCTTATCATAAGCAAATATAAGGGAGTAGTATATCAGTGATCCAATTATATGATAATAAAAATTAATATGATATTGTGGTATATGAAGAATTTTAATATTAAGTTATCAAAGATAAATTCAAGTCGTGGCGATTAAGAATTCATAAAAGTTATAAGTCATGAACATCAAAATATCATAGGAGAGATAAGTTATGAATCACAAGCTATGAGCATCATAAATTCAAGAGAAATATAAGTCATAAGTCACAAGTTTTGAAATTATAAAATCAAGAAAAACATAAGTTACAAGCGAACATCAAAAAGTCATGAATAAGATAAGTCATACAATCCAACATAAGTTATAAGCACAGAAGACTTTCATAAGTCATTAAGTCTTGAAATCATAAAGTTGAAAGAAACATAAGTTACAAGCCATGAACATCAAGAAGTCATAAATAAGGTAAATCATAAAATCCAACATAAGTCATTAACATAAAAAAAGAGATTCATAAGTCATAAGTCTTTAGATATTTATCCCTCTTATCATTAGCAAAAGGAGGAGCACACAAATAATTCAAAATTTTTAATTTTTAATTTATTATGTGACAAGTCATTTTCATATGTTTCTAAATATGATATTTACTTTCTAAAATACTCATGAAGTAAGCCACAAGACTTGCATATAAGATATCAATGAATCCAAAACAGTCAACTCAAGTAAAACATAATGGAATAGGTCATCCAAGTTTAGATCATCAAGATACCTTAAGGTAAGTCATTTTGATGAGTTTCCAATTATGATATTTACTTTTTTAAGTACTCATGAAATATTTCAAAAGACTCAATAGTAATAGTTATAAGTAAGCTATCAATGAAACCAAAATAGTCAACTCAATAAAACATCAAGGAAACTGAAGACGTGAATTAAATCATTCTCAAGATCCTTTCCCTTTTTGTCATTAGCAAAAATAAAAATATGAAACAAAATATAAAATGATCACCATACTATTTCAACATTATACTCTCACTAAATCATTGAATTTGAGAGACAATTTTTCATATTATAATTATCATTTATTTCATCATAAAAAATCTTCTTATGCCACAAAAATAGATATATAAAAAATATGAATTATCCGTTTACAACCATAAATTTCTTAAAATCAAGTATATTAATTTTCAATACAATCATAAGCATAAAATATTCAAATACATTAAAGTATGATATATTTGAAAATCCTTAAAATAAAGAAATTATGCTTGGTAAATCCATCAAAAGTAATATTAGCAACTTTATACCCATAAACATTTTCAATGTAGAATATTTTTTTAAAGTATTTACAAAAATTGATAAAATAATTTGTTCTCATATTTAATGAAAAATGGATCCTAGAATATTTGTTGTATTTGTCTATGGCAAGTGTATGCCATTTTTCTAAATCAAATTATTTATGTTGTATGAACTAATAAATATTCTAATGATGTATTGTTAATTATTTTTGTGAACTTACACTTAGACAAATCTCCACACAACATAATTGGTTCTTATATGTCAGTATTCTATGTCATAAAGTTGGTTATGTTACCAATACTAATGATTTTTGGTTTGTTGTTTTTACGAAAAGTGATATATCATTTATCTTGGCTAATAATATTTGAAACATATACAAGATCTTCAATCATGTGCCTTGAGCATCCGTTTTGAAGGTGTTCTCTTACACTTCTAAGAATAATTTGGTAACTTTGGTCGAAGCATACACACTGATGATGATGCAAACTCGTATACAATTCTTTATCTTTTCGTCTTCAACCACGACAGCAACTATTTTGAGGTAAGTTTTTTTTTACAGAAAGAAGAATTAATATTTATTTAAAGGAGGTGATGTTAGAGATTTTTTTTTTTCTTTGAGAATTAAAATTTATTGAAAGGAGCGAAAACATCGCCATTCACCTCAAATCGAACCAAAAAATAAATCTAACCCCAATAACCCACCAATAAAAACATTTGTTTACCTTAAAAAACTTAGCCAACCAATTTGTGACATGATTTCTTTTGATAAAAATATGAGAAATTTGGAAACTCAAATTCCTCATACAAGTCTACAATGCTTCTAGCTTTGGTGGCAGCATGTGACATGCATATGTCCTTCCCTACCGAATTACAAGATTCAAGATAAATGGTTGACTATTTTTTACCAAAAAGTTAAATTCATATTTATTTTGAGCAAAGTGAAATCCATATTCACTTTGGTAAAACAAAAAAAACTCAGCCCAACATTTCAGTAAAGTCAAGATTATTTGACAAGTTCTTTTATTTTACCTTTCCCTTGATAGATATTTGAGGAGAAAAGTTAATCTCAATTACCTCAGTTGATGTCGACAACCGAATAATAAATCCATCATATGACATAGCAGAGGGCCATGATGCCCTCACATGATTTAGGTATTGCACAACAACAGCGTAGTAACCTTGCCATCATGATCGTTGCCTGACCTTTGTCCTCGATTATCAATAACACCGTGGAGTGATGAGCAACATAGATTTTAAATATTTTTTTAAAAAATATGATTGGATTATTATAAAACTTAAGATCTTAAGTTATCAGAAAAAAATTCAATATATATTTTAGTATCATCTTTTACGAGCAAGTCAATTAAACTTTGACATATGAGCAAAACCCAAGTTTATGATGCAAGTCGAAATGACGGAGTGCCATACAAATGATATACTCCAATTCAATCATAAAATACGATTGAATGACCACGAGTGATCCACATGTTCATTGTAGTTAATCATGATTAGCTGGTTTCTGTGAAGCAATTGTTTCTTATATTTATCCAATATTTAATCTACTTTCAGCATATAATCCTTACAAATCCTCAAAAACTATATGTATCATCATCGTGCCATGTAATTGATGTTAATGCCTTCAAACTAGCTGCTGCTGATAACACTGTTGTAGCATTGGATCAGAGAGATATGTATACCTTATCCATTGTTATTTCCGGACCGGACATCATCATCTACCATCATTTCCCTCGGCAGCCTTAAAGCCGCATGAAGAATATGAGCTGCAAGTAGTTCTGCGTCTTAGACTCATACACCGAGGCCTGGAAGATCCCAACATCTTCGTCTTGGGGCTTCACCTTGAGCTTGACGAGGTAGTACGCCCCCTCAGGCCCCGAGAGCTGCTCGCCGCTCTCCGCGCTGATGAGCGTGTAGGCGAGCCCCCAGTGCGTCCTGCTCTGCTCCGACACCGCGAAGTGTATGACCTTAACGATGGATGGATCGTTTAGGTCTCTGATCGGCTCCCATTCCAATTGCAGCAGCTTTCTCTGGGCCACAGCTTGAGAGGTGAAGAAGAAGAAGAAGAGAAGGAGGAGGGCAACACGGAAGAGAAGAGGGGATCTCATGGGCAGTGCTGTGCTGACTTGAGTGGGGTTTTCTCTTCTGCTAGGGTTTGAGGGTGGCCACAGGAGAGATCTGCATGGATTTGCTTATGTGCTGCTGCTGCTGCCTCAGAAAAGGATGATAAGGAAAGCGTGTATTCACTGCTAAATATGATGATATGATTCCTCTTTCGTATGTATACAATATTTTTGTTGATAACGAATCTTGAATGCATGAATTTACGCAGCAATATGCAGCGATGGCTTATCGAGGAAGTGCCATTTTATTGCTCGTTAATGTCGCTATTTATTTTTCATGTAAAGTATCGACTATAGCTAATCATCAAAGGCCTCTAATCACTGATATGGCTTATATTGACCCATTCGGTCAATATAATAGAACAGCAACTACAACGTGGATTATTAACCATGAACTGATGATATTTTTCCAGTTAGTCCACATATTTTGGTGGTTCTATTTTATTGGACAATTTATTTAGAAAATTAACTTGGGCTTAAATTCCAATTTTGTTATTCTATTCTAATTATTTTTTTTCAAGATTCACTAAATTATTTTAGAAAAGTAAATATCTTCGGATCAACATTGTGTCACTCATCCACCTTCGTCGTCTTTTTTTCTTCTTTCCCAAAAATTAGAGTTAGCAAAGAGCCGACGAAGGATCAGAATACCATCGTATCATTATAATGGTCTAAAAGGATGTGAAAAATTTTGGATAATTACATCGGACCCATATAGGCCTAAATGCATATTTAGGACCTATCATATATATATATATATATATATATATATATATATATATATATATATATATATATATATATATATATATATGTGTGTGTGTGTGTGTAATTTTTTATTAGATTATAGTATAATTTGGATATGGAACACATTATATTAGGCTTTAGGCTTGAGCTGAATAATCATACGTGATATCATGCACACATTTTAAAATGTATGTGGTAGAAGATGGGCATATGACTTTATCCTTTCAATCTCTAACCCTCTCTCTTCTGGAAGAGACATACGACATTTATGTAAGTGTGTACTCTTGTCCCTATCTTACGGATCCCTACTCACCACTCCTCTAGAAGGAGATATGTGGTACTCATATAATGGTGTGCTCTTATTTTTATTATGGATCTCTATCCATTTCTCTTTTAGAAGGATGCATTTGATACTTATCCAAGAGACATCTATCCTTTTATTTGTAAATCCCATATTTTAGAATTAATGAATGAATAGAGAGTTCAGAGCTTATAGCTACTAAGAATCTTATGTGAAATATTTAAGTGAGGAGAGAGTTCCCATGGGTGAAAGGCTCCACCCTATTTATTCTTTCCTTTTCCTTCCTTTTCCCCACCACCCTTATTCTTTGTCTTCAATCACCGTAGCAGCACGATCACTATCACAATAACACCACCACTACCAAACAAAGCAACAACATCAACCACTGATCACTGTTAATGTGCCCCGACAACCACCACCCTATACACCACCTATTCTACTAGGTCATTCGCTCAACTATTGTTTCATCATCTAAGGCCAAGAGTATTATATCTTTTTTAAGTTATATTAAGAGTTATTTATGAAAGAAATATTTCCTATAGTCAAAGCTTAATTG